ATCGAAAAACAGATATGATAATGGCTGGAGGAAGACATCCTATGAAGATAACTTACAGTGTTGGATTTAGGAATGATGGGAAGATTACGGCATTAGAACTTCAGATTCTGGTTGATGCAGGGATATACGTAGATATAAGTGCAGTAATGCCACATAATATAGTTTCCGCACTTAAAAAGTACGACTGGGGTGCACTAGCTGTTGATATAAAGGTGTGCAGAACAAATCGTCCCAGTAGATCTGCTATGAGGGGTCCCGGAGAAGTGCAGGGATCATTTATTGCTGAGGCTATTATAGAAAATGTAGCAGCTACACTTTCAATGGATGTTGACTCTGTCAGAAGCATTAATCTTCACACATACAAAAGTCTTCAGTCATTCTATGAGTACTCTCATGGTGAACCTTGTGAGTATACCTTGCCTTCAATATGGAGTAAGTTAGCTGTTTCTTCAAACTATGACCAGAGAACCAAAATGGTGCAAGAGTTTAACAGGATTAACATCTGGAAGAAAAGGGGAATCTCTCGAGTACCAGTTGTGTTTCAACTAATGCAAAGACCAACTCCTGGAAAAGTAAGTATTTTTTCAGACGGGTCTGTTGTTGTTGAAGTTGGAGGGATTGAAGTGGGTCAGGGTCTCTGGACAAAGGTAAAACAGATGGCTGCATATGCTCTCGGGGCTATTCAATGTGATGGAATTGGAGGTCTCTTGGACAAAATACGGGTTATACAATCTGATAGTGTGAGCATGATTCAAGGAGGATTCACTGCTGGAAGCACTACATCAGAATCAAGCTGCGAAGCAGTTAGGCTTAGCTGTAATATCTTGGTTGAAAGGCTAAAGCCTCTTAAGGAAAACCTGCCGCAGGAAATGGGCTCTATCAACTGGGAGACCCTTATTCTTCAGGTACCTACAATAAATAAAGTAAAAGACCTCAATTTTGAACATTGATAGATTTTCCTCTGTTATCTTCATGAATGTGGGAGGAAGTTCCCGTGAGAAAATTGGTTCTCTTCATAATCATGCTGTAACATGAAGAAAGTGGAATCTTAACTGTTTCTTTCTCTATGATCCATATGGACAGAGACTATTTATGATTGAAGTTCACTATTGTTTGCTGTAAGGTTTAGAAACTTGTGTTTTTTAATTTACATTGATGAATTCATGTTAGTATTTGTAATTGTGCTCAAGATGTATTGCTTCAAGCTTTTCCTGTTAAGGTCTTGTAGGCACTTAGCATTCTTACAGTTTATGGGATCAAAATTAACTCCTTTCAGTTAAGAAAATATTCGGGGAGTAAACTGTGGAAAAGGAATTGAGTGTAGAGAATTTCCTCCTATTTTCCTTGTCCACAAGCATAAATATTAATTACCATGTTGCTGACAATTTTTCGACATACAGGCATACATGCAAGCCGTGGACTTATCAGCATCTTCATTTTATGTACCCAGCATGAACTCCATGAGTTACCTTAATTATGGTGCTGCAGTAAGTGAGGTAGGTTGGTTTTACTTTTGGTTTTCTATGCATATGTCAAATCAAACAGATATTTTTTTCAAGTTTATGGATAGTCACTTCTCTTGAATGTTAAACACTAAGGTCATATTTTCACATAAGCCATGTTACTGACGTAACTGAAACAACTTATCTTATACTGATATTCTAAATATGGAAATTATTTCTCAGGTGGAAGTAGATATTCTGAATGGAGAAACCAGATTTTTGCAAACAGATATTCTTTATGATTGCGGACAGAGTCTCAACCCTGCTGTGGATTTAGGACAGGTAAGCTGACTATATATTTGTTATGCAAAGTCAACTCTAGTCAAGGAATAACACAGCCTATCTCATAAAGGCCCTTAGGGAGTCAAGGGGAGACTAAGAACTGGCACACAATTCCTTACCGAAAAATTACATTTAATTAACAGAAATGAAAAAGGCAAGAATCAACACTCGATAACTTTCTGATATCTTGTTAAGAACCAAAGAGGCATTGATTCCTTTAGCTAAAAATATCTTGTTAAGAATCAAATCAACCAGAATGCTTGGGATTTTGGTTCATTTTGGTTGGATGCCTTAGAATGTTTATGGTCTCTTACAAGTTAGTGGGAATTTCCAAGGGAAAGACATCGGGGAGATATTGACCAATGTGTACACGAATCAATCATATGATACTACCTTCAATAAAAAATCTTAAAACATTAATTTTGCAAGTCTTTTTAATTTTTATGTTATTCAATTTTTTCATTTTTACTCAATACAGGATTGAACTCACTTAACTATTGTTCAGTTATTCAACTATATAGGTGTATTCTTCCTAATTATATAATCACATCATGCAGATTGAAGGAGCTTTTGTCCAGGGATTGGGGTTTTTCATGCTTGAAGAATACGAAACAAATGTTGATGGTTTGGTGTTGCAAGACGGCACTTGGAACTACAAAATCCCTACAATAGACACCATACCAATACAGTTTAATGTTCAAATCCTGAACAGTGGGCACCACCAGCAACGTGTTCTCTCTTCAAAAGGTACAACTAAGTTGCAAAAAAATATGTCTGTGCATCGGTCTTATTTATTTAGTGTCCTCATGAATACATATCACTTGTCATGAAACAGGAAGTTTTGTGCATTCTCTTCCATTGATTCGTTATAGGTTTATTCTAGCTCTCAATTCCAAAATATAGGGATGATGAAGGCAGAAAATATTTGTTAACCATACATATACTTGTGGTGTACACGAACCAGTTAATTAGTGTGGTAGCTTGGATATGAGATGCATGTAATAGTGATACCTCTAGAACAGGATTTTAAAAAAAAGTTTGGTATCAAAGCTAAGGTGGAAGTGGATGCAACAGAAATAATCAATTCAATTTTTTCTGCATAATAGTATGGAGGAAAACAGATTGTGGTTATAGTTGTAAGCATGTTGCAGCCTATGTTTATTTTAGAGTGTTAATAATATTGAGAAAGCTTCACTGTAAAACATGAAATTCGTTGGTGTAGCTTCTGGAGAGCCACCACTACTTCTAGCAGCTTCCATTCACTGTGCCACAAGAGCAGCTGTGAGAGAAGCAAGGAAACAGCTTCTTTCATGGAGCAACCAAGATGGAGCAGATTCAGCTTTTGAGTTGGGAGTCCCTGCAACAATGCCTGTGGTTAAGCAACTCTGTGGACTGGACAATGTGCAAAAATACTTGAAATGGAAAATGCAAAGGACATAATGCTGTTCACCATCCTATATTAGTTAGAAGAATGATTTTGTTCTATCCAATTTTCAGTCCTTTTGGTAAAAAATTAAAATAAGTGTATTTTGATTATTCTATTTCACATAATGATCATGCTAGGGGGAAATTTTGAATTTTTTTATTTCACAATAAGTAACATTGGCTAGTTCAATCTATATATATTATTATTATTATTATTATTATTTTAAAAAATAGTTTCTCAAATTTTTAAAAAATATATTTGATTAAAGTAAAATTACTGTAAACATCCTTTTATCCAATTTTTATTTATATATCAATTTCAATCTATATTTACTGTTTAATTTCATTTTAAATTATTTAAATCTAAATGATGTGTTAGTGTTGTTTTCAAGTTTAACTTGATTAAATTTTATTTTAAAATTAAATAAGTTTTGTCAGTTATAGAAAAATCATTTAAAATTTTAATTTATTTATATATAATATTGACTTGATATTTCTATTACTTTTTCATCAATCTCGATCTTTAAAATCAACTTATCTTTTTATTAAACAAAGGTTGATATGAAAATGTTGTTGTAAAAATTACATATTTTTTATTAATTTCATAATTTTAAAATTATTATATAACTTGTAATACATCAAATATTATAATAAAAAATTTAAATATATATGAGAAGGAATTAAAATTACTAAAGTTAATTTAATGAGCGTGGAATAAGTTATCACTATTTTTTAATACAAATAACATGTTATTATTCTATTATTTTATTTGCAAAAATAATTATATAAAAGAGTCGAAAATCTAAATATAAGAGATAATGTCCCTTGTAAAAAAATATAATACTGAATTATGTTACATAAAAATAGATTTTGGAAAATATTAAAATAGATTAAACATAATTTATACGTATATCACAACCTGAAAGTACTTTGTGTTCTAAATTCGCGTGGCTCTACTCACCGACTACTCAAATATCTGCAGAAAGAAAGGCATTAGCAAGTGAGAAGAAATTTCCACTTAAAAATTTCCATTTGTTTTAGTGTAAAGCATTTTACTTTTTATCCGTTTAATTTTAAATTATCAATTTATTGATTTAAATAAAACTATATTTGAATCTAAAATTAATTGACAATGAAAAAATTTGCAGTGCTAAAATTAAAGTTTCTTTACTATTTATTCTCAGTATGTTAATATTGGAACGTAATATTTGATATGATTGACATAATATGAGAAACACAGCCTGTAATTGTACTGCAATCAATCACTGACAGCTTCTCTTTGGCAGGGACACATAAAGTACAAGTAGATCAAAAATAAAAGTTAAATTATAATGCTGATTTAAAAAAATAAGTACATAGAAAAGAAGAGACATAAAAAAAATTGAGAAATAGTTTATTAATTTTCATCTATTTCAAAATTATTAAGTGATGGAAATATAAGTTTAATTTAGAATTTTACAAAATTAAAATTATTATTTTAGGACAGAAATAATTGTATTTCAGAGTTATATTAACAACACTAGTGTCATAAAAAAAGATAGCACACCTCACTCTCAAACCCACCTTATTGTCTTCAACCTTTGCTCTCCATTCAACTTCTTCACTTCAGTGCCTGGTGTAGTGGTAACCTTTCTTAATGCCATTAACTATGCTCCATTTCACGTGTTTTTAAAGTGATGTGTTTTTCTCTTGTTTGATATGCATGTCAATTAAAGGATTCACATGTTATGGCTATTGTGAAAATATTTCATTACATGCAGATTACATATAGGTTCAACTTCAAGTGTTGAAATGGGGGCAACTTCAACACCCCTTCTGGTTGTTCTCCTATTTTGCTGCCTGATTTCTGTTTCACAAGCAGAATACTTGAAGTACAAAGACCCAACACGGTCACTGAATCTCAGAATCAAGGACTTGCTGAAGCGGATGACCCTGGAGGAGAAGATAGGCCAGATGGTGCAGATTGAACGAAGTATTGCTACCCCTCAAGTGATGAAGAAGTACTTCATTGGTAAGCTCTCACCCAATCTCCAACCAAATACTTGTGCCTTATATGCTACTAGACTATGATAGTAGTTAGGAATGATTTATTTTCCTTATATAAGTGTATGATTTGTTTAATATAAGGGGTATAATAGTGTTTCCAATTATGGAGGTGAAGCACATGTGACGTGATGTGATGATTGATGGGCAGGGAGTGTGCTGAGTGGGGGAGGGAGTGTTCCAGAAACAAAGGCATCTGCTGAGACTTGGATCAAAATGGTGAATGGGATCCAAAATGGATCTTTGTCTACCCGCCTTGGGATTCCAATGTTTTATGGCATAGATGCAGTTCATGGTCACAATAATGTCTACAAGGCCACCATCTTTCCTCACAATGTTGGGCTAGGAGTTACCAGGCAAGTATGCATGTACTTCATGAGTAGTCATGGTCATTTTCCTTTGTGACGAGATAATTTTTTATTTACTTGTGATTTTAAGACCTTGGTTTTCAAATGCTTATGGTATCATATGCAGTTGAAAGCCATATTTCAACATGTTGACATTTTCACTAGACCCTTCAATTATTATCCTTTATTTATCTTTTAGCACTATCTTGCTGCTTAGCTGAATACATAGCCATAATTATATAATGCTGATAGGGATCCAATGCTGATAAAGAAGATTGGAGATGCAACTGCCCTTGAAGTTAGAGCTACTGGAATTCAGTATGTTTTTGCTCCATGCATTGCGGTAATTAAGCAGTGTTGACTATTCCGTTCCTTTTAGATCAGATAAAAGATTAACATTGATCAAATGTCCTAATATGTTGGTAGCTTTTTCTTCCACAGGTCTGCAGAGATCCTAGATGGGGGCGTTGCTATGAAAGCTACAGTGAGGACCCTAAGATTGTTAAAGCAATGACTGAAATTATTCCTGGTTTGCAAGGAGACATCAGTGGCGATTCCAGAAAGGGGGTTCCCTATGTTGCTGGAAAGTAAGATTCTTAATAGTAGCTTGAGTTCAGTGTGAACCATTAGATTAATTGGTCATCCTTGACTTCTTATATGCTTCCATATTCCATGCACATTTCTTGGACGGTAATAATCACTAAGTTCCTGCTCACCTCTTGTTTATAATTGATACTTATTAGAAGAGTTACTGTATTTGCAAATTATTTTAAGCTTTTGTTCTGTTTTTTAGGTAAAACATTGTATTGTATTGTATTAATTGTTCTTCATAAAACTTTGTTAGTTTTAAATGCTATATTATTAAACTTGAATTTAGTTTCAACATTTTAATTACTTTGACACAGGAACAAGGTTGCGGCTTGTGCTAAGCATTATGTAGGAGATGGTGGCACATCCAAGGGTATTAATGAGAATAATACTTTGATTAGTTATAGAGAATTGCTTAACATTCACATGCCTGCATATCATGACTCCATCGTCAAGGGGGTTTCAACTGTAATGGTCTCCTACTCTAGCTGGAATGGCAAGAAGATGCATGCTAATCATTTTCTAGTCACTGATTACCTCAAGAACAAACTGAAGTTCAGGGTAACAAATAAAACTTATTTAATAGTTCTCTAATAAAGCAATCAAAGTGTACTTCTGATTCTTCTAATTTAAATTACATGCGATTTTGGTTTTTCAAGTTTTTTTTTTTTTTTTTTACCTATTAGGTCTATTTTTAAATATATAAAAAGAACTGCCATCAATTTCAAGATCAGTAAACATGCAGTTTGTGATGTACCCTTTTTGGCATCTTTCAGGGTTTTGTCATATCAGATTGGCTAGGCATTGACAGGATTACTTCTCCTCCTCATTCTAACTATTCATACTCTATTCAAGCTGGTGTTGGTGCTGGAATTGATATGGTAACAGAAGAAATAAATACTATGACTTTTGTATCTGAAATATAGTATCACGACTTTTCATTTTATTACTGCGTTTACATTATTCTACAGATCATGGTTCCTTTTAATTTCACTGAATTCATAGATGTCCTGACTTATCAAGTGAAGAACAATATTATCCCTGAAAGTAGGATTGATGATGCTGTGAAAAGAATATTAAGAGTAAAATTTGTCATGGGCCTATTTGAGAATCCACTAGCTGATCCAAGCCTGGTGAATCAACTTGGTAGTGAGGTATATTTTCTTAAGGATGTAATTTCAATCATATCTTTCAAATGAAAAGAGTGATTTACTGATAAATTCCTGTGCCTTAAACAGGAGCATAGACAGTTAGCAAGGGACGCTGTAAGGAAATCTATTGTGTTGCTAAAGAATGGTAAATCTGCTAAGCAGCCTCTTCTTCCCCTTCCCAAGAAAGCTGCAAATATACTGGTGGCAGGAAGTCATGCTGACAATTTGGGTTATCAATGTGGAGGATGGACAATTACCTGGCAGGGGCTTGGTGGCAATAATCTCACAGTTGGTAAGCCAGCAGAATTAGTTTTTGGTGTGTGTAGGACATATTAACTTCATCCCCAGTGATTTCTTGAAAATTGGCAGGATACCCTTGTTTTTTCAATGCATAGAGTAACCTCGTACAAGGATACACAATGTAATATATTTTTTCGGTAAGAGTGTCTGGATGTATAATGTAATGTGTTTCAAATAATCAAGAAGGGTTACTTTGGGTGTTAAAAAGGTAAGAGCATGGTGTGAAATTTCAACAAACACAGTTGTCAATGTAATTTGCCCAAAACATTAATTTTGAACGATCTAAACCCTGCATGGATTAGCATGTAAGACATTCATACACACTGCAACTTGGCTATTTGATCATGGTTTTCTGTTGTAATTACGGTATATCTGACAAAAAATATCATTTTCCTAACAGGGACAACAATCCTTGATGCTGTAAAACAAACAATGGATCCTGCTACTAAAGTTTTCTACAAGGAAAATCCTGACTCCACCTTTGTCAAGTCCAACAACTTTTCTTATGCCATAGTCATCGTAGGTGAACCCCCTTATGCGGAAACATTTGGTGATAGCCTGAATCTAACTATAGCTGAGCCAGGTCCAAGCACCATTACCAATGTATGTGAATCTATCCAATGCGTGTTAGTTCTCATCACTGGCCGTCCGGTAGTGATTCAGCCATATCTATCAAAAATAGACGCACTTGTAGCTGCATGGCTTCCAGGAACTGAAGGCCAAGGTGTCGCGGATCTTCTATTTGGTGATTATGGATTCACTGGCAAGCTGGCAAGAACATGGTTCAAGACAGTTGACCAGCTTCCAATGAATGTTGGCGATAAATATTATGATCCTCTATTTCCATTTGGATTTGGGTTATCTACTAACCCCAACAAGCACCAAAACAATATTTGAGATTACTACCCAAAGGTCTCACTGTTCCTTTTCAGCAAGGAGATTCGTGATTGTCTTCAGCAAAGTGAACGATCGCACGCGTATGTTTGAAATGAAAACGTTAGAGAAACTCCATCTAGCACTAGAAAAGAAGCATGTCATTTAGAATAAAATTTACTATGGTGTCTTGACAATTTTATCCTATGATTTAACATTCTAGTGAGTTCAGATAGTTAAATAATGGTGATGATTGGAGATTAAAAAAGAAATACTTGTGATTTTTCATCTTAACTGATTTAAGTTGGAGTTCTAAGAAGAAGAAAAAAAATTCGAGGCACATCTGTTCTTCCCAATTTTAACATGTATTAAAAAATCTTTTAATTCATGGTAGAGGCTAATCGCAGCAAATGATATCAAGGTTTATTATTGTACAACATTTCCCGTAATTGTTCGAGAGGACATGTTGAGAATCCCTATATCTCCTTCAATTCTTGATATGAACATTCAATGTGTTAGATTACTTGATACCATTTGATATTAAATTAACATCTAACACCACTTTCATTTGTGTTTCCTTTGGTTAGTATAAAACTGACACCATGTAGGCAAGCAAATTTAAAACCAACCTTTCAAATATCCTTGAAAGTTAAAACAACTCTTCCTCCACAAATTAATAATTTGATGGGAAAAAGATAAGTGTCCAATCAAAATGCATTAAAATTTTACATTTGGGAGCAAAAGTACTAAAAGAATAACAAGCTTTCTCACTTGCTAGTATAATTCCTGACCATTTTTAAGGTCAAAACAAACCCACGTACCATTTTCTCCCCCTGATATTTAAAACCCAAAGATGATGCATGAAAACAACTGATCTTTCTTTCAGAATGGGGAAAACCCCTTCTCTGCCTCATTGACAATATTACAAAATCTTTACAACCTATACAAAATTTCACAGAATCGGCAACTGACGTTAGAAGATGAGATCCTCCATGACAATGAATGCCATTACTTTTTTGAGAAAGTGAGATATGGGTCTTGAGCAATGGTTAATACATCTGGTCTCTCAGCCTGGTTATATGTTAGACACCGTCGGATAAAATCCTGACAAGAAAAGTGTAGATACAGTACAGTATTGTCAGGTTTCACAGTATTGTACATAGTAGTACATGATACCATATTCCTTGTACAGTAAACCAGATTTAAGAAACTGTATATAATGAGGTGTTCCATGAAAACCACTACCTTCGCAGTTCCTACACTTGCATGTGGAATAATGTTGAATATTTTCTTTGTGAAAATGTACATAACATAAATATAACCTTACAAAAAGCATAGTTGTGTCCATCACTGAATAATAGAATAAAATAAAGACACGTTCACTGGCTAAGAAGTTAAAAAGAGAAAGGACTTTATTAAGAAATACTTCTACGATGACTTTTAATGCACCTCAGCACGATTTTCAAAAAACTTTGTTTATTGATTCCTTAATCAGTGCATGACATTCTTTAGCAAAACCCTAAAATAAAAAATTGAAGCAACGCCAAAGAACAATCAACCATGGCAGAAATAAACAGTTACGGGTGCAATTCACCTTTGCCTCGTTAGAAATGGTAGGTCTAGAGGGAAATTCAACCTTGCGTGCCTTAATAATTGTGTCTTCACGAAGTATCCTCTCTTGGGTTTGGTCATGCCCGAAAGGGCGTCGGCCAAAGAGCATTTGATAATACAAAATACCAGCAGACCAGACATCTACCTGTTTTCCACAACATATAAGAAAATTGATGAGACAAATGATAAAAATATGTAAGGTGATGATCAACAGTTGGTTGTCTGCATAATTTTTCCATCATGATACTTGTTTCAAAGTGAAAATTCTTTGACCAAAGTGATTGGGCGAGAATATAGGTTATCCGTGTATTTACAATCAAGAAAATCATTGACCTTCGATGATATAAGAGGTGTCTTGCTGAGCTCAAAGCATTCAGGAGGCAAATACCTACAAATTGAAAAAGGAAAAGAGCGGATAAAGAGATTTTACCAAAGTAAACACTGGAATCTCAAGGATACAAAAAAGGAGCACCAAATGTTAAGTCAGATTGGGGAGTGTGAAGCCTAAAACCTACAAATTTGGACTACTTCAAATTTTGGATTCCAACAAAGATTTTCACCACTTACCAATATGTTCCAGCTCCCTGGGATGTAAGTTCCATTCCCTGAGATCCCACATCATCCTCAACTATCTTACTAAGACCAAAATCAGTCACTTTGGCAACACCAAGCTCATCAAACAGAACATTTCCAGGCTTCAAATCATAATGGATAATCTTCTGTGTTCTTTTATTCATGTAAATAAGGCCTTGAAAAATCTGAACCATGATGACCTTAGCCTCCCTCTCAGGTAATATAGGTGTTGCTTTAAGGACAGCATCAAGATCCTTCCCTGGAAGAATAAAGTAAGGTCAAGGGAAAAGGGGTGGACAAAACAGGAAATCAAACAAAGAGAATGAAGTTATTTAGGTTCAAACTCCAAAGAAAGATTTAGAATCCATAAAACTAATAAATGTAGTGAGCTTCATTAAACAATTATCACTATATACCACTACAATACTCTAGAACAGTGCAGAATGTGTTTTGATCAATCTCAAAGATGTCCCACAAACGAACAATGTGACGATGTACAAGAGTCTTGTGAATATTATACTCCCGAATTGCATGTCTTATGTAACTCTGCTTCTTCTCTTCACTCCATTGAGCATTTAAACCATGAAGCTTGCAAGCAACATATCTATGGTCCACCAAGTCGAAAGCCTGCTGGAAATTTCTTACTTCAAATCACTGCAAAAAGATATTTATTTACAATTGCCAATGCAGGCCACATAATTGTCGAGATTCTGGTTTTAGTTTCTCAAAACCTTAATATTTCCTAAATGAGGAGAATAGCAACACACTTTATGTTAAGAGTTAAAATTGATTGAAAAAGTACAAAATCGTTAGGGGAAATGTTAAACGTTAATACAGAAATTTTTTATTTCTAATCATCTTTAGCCAATGATAAATAGCTTATAGAAGTGTGTTAGAGATTGTCTTGTTAGCACTTTTCCAGCTAAAACAATATCAATATGATCAAATGATTATTATTATACTTTTTGATAGTTCTGATCTGACCTTGTACACCTCACTAAATCCTCCCTTCCCAAGAAGATTAAGAAGGGCATAACGATGATTTAGAATCTGGAAGTTGTTAAACCGTGAACCATCTTCATCCCGTATACGTTTCATCTCACGAATTAATCTCCCCTTCTCTGTTTCATAACGATCCCTCTCTCGCAAAATAATTTCCTCTTCCTGAACATTTTCCTGCTATTAGAAACATAAAGAAGAAAGAAAACAATTGGGCCAACAGAAATAGCAACATACTCTTTTAAGGCTAGCTAATCGACATTTGTAAATTTCATCGTGAATTAGAATATCTTCTGGTAATCCAGCCTCTGCATCTGTTCCATCACCCTTATCTTCAACAAAAGAAAAAAGCCCAAACAAAAACAAAACACACACTATTAACACAGGGAGCAAAGTAATATGGTACAAGATATAGTCTAGCCATTTCTGATAGCTTGAAACAAATATTTATTTTATCAAACTATCCATTAAAACATCTTATAAGTACTCAAGCACCTGGGAAATCTACCCTCAAAAGCTAGGGGAACATCCAATCACATCCAATACTACTTGATGTGGGACTTAGGCAACAGATAAAACTCAAGTTCCTACCATAGCACCCCACCCCTTGGAGCTGACGTCTTGGCGGCTTTCACTCTACATGTGGGACTTAGGCACCCTATAATACCGAGGTTCCTACCATAGCACCAACCCTAGGAGCTGACAGCTTTCACTATATACCAATGTGGGACTTAGGCACGCTATAATACCTAGCTTCCAACCATAGCACCACCCCTAGGAGCCGAAATCTCAGCAGCATTCACTCTCACCTATGCGGGACTTAGGCACCTGATAATAATACCCAATGGCAACCAACTTTGATACCAATTGATAAGTACCCAAGAACTTGAAGAACTCATCCTCAAACACTTAAATACTCTGACAAGCACCTTATACCCAAGTTCCTATTAACATCCTTGAGGAGCGTATGGTTAGTCATGATTTGTATAGTATCTAGTGAAGTTATTAAAAGTTGATATATACAAAGTATCTAATGTAGAGATTCAACAAGATGCATGGAATGTTTATACGATAGCTGGTATAAACTAAGAGGGGGGTGAGGAAGTGATAAGGACAGTCCCAAATTTCTTCCCATCAACCTCTCTTCCCCAGCTTTAGGTGTATAAGGGCTGAAAGAAAAAAAGGAAACAGAATTTACCAGATTGCTTTTTCTTAAACAATTTGCGATGCCGCTCGATTGCCTCCTTCGTTTCAATTAGTTGTTTCTGGGGAAAAACAAAGAATAAAGAGGAAAAGGAATTCTTGGTATCACTAATGCAAACTATTGTCATCAGCAAGGTTTAAATTTCAAAAAACTAACAGAAGTTATAGTGAAATTGATATTACACTTGAAACTCCAAAAACAATATCCTCAATTTTTATTTACTCAACTGAAGCAAAAAAGTTCAGATTTTATAGTAATTATAATCAAAATATGTTAGTGAAAACCTTGCAATTTCACTGCCCAAATGAACATGAAAATATCTTCAGATGATGACAATTTAATTGAACCCTGAATGTTCAATCAGAAAAAATCAATTTGGATGATATTGATAAAATAAGGAAAAAAATCAGAATCCTAAAAACTGTGTTATAATAATTCCTCAATCAGAAAATCTCACAATAAATCCTAGTTGAATCTAATAAATTAATCATAATCAGTAATAATCTCCAGTACAAAAATTAAAAAAAAGAAAAAGAAAAAAAAAGTCATTGAGGAGGAGACAGGAAATGGAACATACAAGCTGGGCATTCATATCCTTTAAAGCTTGACCATCTTCCCAGGTTTCAGATATGACAGTTCCAGCTCTACAATTCATAATTTAACTAATAAGAAAATTAGTAAAAAGATAATATGAAATATAATTTCTCATTTCATTTCTGTTCCATTATTGCCAGAATATGAATGACTCTGTTTTCGATAATTATATGTATATTTATAAATTACTTTACTTGTATTTTCAAAATTTCAAATTGCAGCAATCCCATAGTTTCAGAGTCTGCTGCTCCACACTGTTATCCAGGATTGATAATTATGTAAATTTTCAAAATGCTCCATGCATACCTGATTACACCAACATTTCCAAGTCTCAATGAGTCTTGTCGTACTTTCAGCCTTGCTTCTTGTCTTTCAGCCTTTGAAACAGATATCAGCAAGTCAGATATTATTTTCATTCTCTGCAAAATAGAAAGTTTATATGTGAATATGCTTCCTAATAGATGCACAATACAAAGAATGCTAATTAACTATTTTGTTGGGGAGGGGAGGTAGTGGCAACTGGGATTTGACTACTTTAAAGTGAGTATAGGTTAAGAAAGTAATCTCATTCAATGATGAGAAAGTAATTGTTTAATATTCCAACTCGTGCATGATTTATTATACATATGCACTCAATGATGCTTACTATACTCTCTGAAGTAAATAGCTTTTATAAGAGTCAGATCCTGGAATTGGTCCATTTATCATGTATCAGCAAGGAGCTTTCTAAGATCTCTAGTTCACTTTTGCATAAAGAATTCAAACAAACAAGATTTAGTGTGCACTCTGTTGCATGCAACATGAGGATAGCCAGTGCTCACTATTTTAAATAAAATACATATTTAGCAACAAAGTGTTTTGATAGACTCAAGAAGGAAGCTTTAATTATAACTATTGTGCAATCAAAAGCTGAAAATAATCACACCTTAGGCTTCATTTGTTGTTCATGATCAGTCATTTCCTTCATTTCCTGCACATACCAAAATCAAGCAATAAAATTATAAGAACAGAAAATCAACACATCAATTTCAACAACTCTCAATTCTCTCACCTTTAAAATATAGTTTGCAATTCAGTGTATATATTTTACAAAGAATTCTCATTGTATTATATATTTTGTATGACTTAGACATTTCATAAATCCCATTTTAGAGTTAAATTTGGATTAAAATCAAGTGTTAATTTATTTAGAGGTATGCCTCTTTGAAACTATTTTTCAATTAGAGACAATATCTTACAATTTGATACAATTCAAGATTCAGAAAACATCCTTCTGATTGTGAATGTCTGTCATTCCTGTACCTTTTCTAGCTGTTGAGTAAGGTTCTGATAATCAACGGCTTCTTGCTTTGCTTTACGCAATTCCTCCTCCAACGCAACAACTTTAGCTTGTAAAGATGCAACCTCCTCCTAATATAAAAGAGATGAAATAAAATGAGAAAAAAGTTGAAAATTACAAGCTTATGATATCTGAATAAAACAACAATGAAGAATTAAAGTATCAAAAATGTCATTGGATCTGGTGGAGGGAGGTAGAAATGAAAAAGTCATATAAAACTTCTATTTATTCTCATATAAAGCCACATATTTTACAGGTGGAATAATGCAAAAGCCATACCTCTAATGAAACACAATTATTACTATGAAATTGATCGCTGGGTCTGCCACTCTGCAAATAAATATAAGCTATAAGTTACAATCGAGGAGTATAAAATAAATTATCAATGTGAAGTTAACTGCTTAAGCAATATGACATTCCTAAACTTATGAATATTCCATTAGTAGGAATCATAATAGGTTCCAATTTGCATAACAAGAGATAAAAGACACAACCAGACAATAATGTCAAATAAACTCTACTGATTAGAGAAAAAGAGAATGACTTATAAGAAATTACACTGATATAGAGTAGCCATTAAAGAAAAAAAGGGGCACCCAAAACCAATGCAATCAAATTCGCTTTCACCTACAGACTACAGATGATGGAATCAGTCCTTCATGCAGTAATTCTTTAAGCCAAGTTTAAACTTCAGATCTCCCTTAATATCAGTTAGAGAAGACATAGGTGTGCAAATATGCTAGCAATCATGTATAGAAAACAGATAGCGTCACAATTAATAAGACCAGTTTAGAAAAAACCAACGGGGCAATTGAAAAATTACAATTACAGAAACAAATATTTCATGGGCAGGAGCATACTTTATGGTATACATTCTCGATCTGACCATTTGAAGCCAAAACAGCTGGAGGAGAAATTGGAGTTTTGGTCTGATCATTAACTCTGGAACCCCGGCCTCTACCTGAACCAGAACTCCCTCTTCCACGACCATGTTTCTTTCTACTCATTTCAACATGCATTTTTGTCTCAACAGCGTCCAAACTAGTTTGCTTTCCATCAGTAACAACCTAATAGGTAAATTATTTTCAGTTGCATTAGAAATCACAAGATGACAGTTTCTGAGACGAAATGTACACTTTTTACAAGTAGTTGTTGAATACTAGATACAGAAGATGGTGAGAGCGATAAATTAAAAAAGGATGCACTTTTTTCAGTGAGTAGCTGTATTTTCAACATGAGATGCAGCTACTGTATAAAATCAAAGTGTGTATCAAGTCACAAAAACCAACCTCAACACGTTCAAAAACACTAGTGTTGCCATCTTCTTGAAGTTTTTGGCGCTTCTGTGTGTTGGCTTGTATCAAGAATGCCCCACCATTCTGGAACAGAAATTCGAAGATATTTATAATCTAACTAGTCAAGTTATCATAGAAACATGTTTTCTTACATCTACCAGTTTTCCAGATCATTATAGCACAAGCGTGCGCACACCGATACTCTCCATGTCAAGGTATCAACATAAAATCAGCAGCAATGAACACAGAACATACCAAGTACATTTATATTATCCTAAATCATAGATAAATACACAAGCAATAAACCACCAAAACAAACAAAATAAACACAAAAAAAAACTACTGAGTTAACATTGAAAATCCCTGGCAACACAAGAAAATAAGCCAAAACCTAAAAACAATAATTATCCTAAATGCAGTCAAAGTACCAAACCCGTTGCACTGAATAGGGATAAAACTTACATCATCATCAGAATCACTTGAAGTGGATGGTTCAGCCGAATTTTCTGCAGCTCCAAATTTCCCAGCCGAAGGAACAGACAAAGAGGACCGACCTGGTTGCTGAGCAGAGGTTGAGGAACCTTTACCAACCATACGAGCTTCCAACTTTGCAATCTTTGTGGGGAGAGACTGATCTGATTGGTTGGAAGAGTTGGAAGAGAAATGAATGAGCATGTCATCGGACATTGTTGCTGTAACTGCAAACTGTTTGGGAACAAATGAAAAAAAAAATGTTTCTCAACTGAAGATAAACCAACAATCAAGAAAATTCAACTCATTTAGGGGGGGAAGGGGGGGGAAAGGTTCTTTTGTGTGAAAGATAAAGATGGTGAGTAGAACTAGGCCTACCCATTCGTGATCAGAGAGGAAAGATGTCAATTTTCCACAGACCCACGTGAAAAGATAGGGATTTGTGAAAAGGGAAAACGGCAGAAACAGATGAAGAAATCAGGTAATCAGATAATTGAAACGGGGTGTGATTGGAAGAAAAAATGAAAAGGGGAAATTTTGAATATGGTTGCCTTTTGGGTGAAGAACTCAGAGAAGTAAGTGAAATAGATAATCTAGGGTTTTGTTGTTTGGTAAAGTGTTGGAAAAATCAAAAGATTGGGAGGGAAGAACGAACACTGGGCAAGTGAGAGAAGAAAGGCATGACTGCAATAACAGGGGCCAGAGTAGGGAGTGGATTCAGTGACCTTAACCCGGGAAACTGCACCGTGCAGTTGGGACATTTTGAGCCATTTGATTTTATAAATGCTTCAGATTTTGCCACATGTCCTTAGATATTTTTTAATAAATAATAAGACAAGCTTTGGTCAAGCTATTGCATTGGGTTTTGCAGTTTGCGAATTCTACCTGCACCTTTGCGCTGGCTATTAGTAGTATGGTAAAAGGCCAAGTTCTCTGCTAAGTTTTTTCTCTAACAATCTTAAGCAGGTCTTTTGAATCAACTTTGTGTTGCGGTGGCTGTAACAAAATGAAAAGTTCTTGGTTGCATAAATAACAAAATGAGAAGACTATATCCCACTGATGAGGACTAGGCATCTGCATTTTGGTGTTTTTTTTTTCAATTTATTTTATTTGCAGCAAGCTAAGACTGAGAGAGATGCTGCATTTGGCAATGATATGAGGTTTATGTGGAGAAGTAGATCACAACCCAAACCACATAGTTCTAAATATTATCTTTTTTGCTGGTTGAAATCTATCATTTGACTGGAGTCTTAGAATATAAAACTTTGACTGCATTTTATCAGTAACATGGAGGTGTAGAAAACACTCAAATTGTGATTACTTGAGAACTTTTTCACTTTAGCAATGTAACAACATAGTGCTTTGTGTTTACATCATATACAAATGTCTAGTTGATTGTTTTGTCGGTAGGGAGATGTTTGGGAGGAAAGAAGTGCATTGGCAGTTGTATATATTTAAAGGACATGTGGCAAAATCTGAAGTATGTATAAAATCAAATGGTCCATGATGTGTCAATTTCAAGTTGCAGTTCCAGGGTTGAAGTCACTGAATCCACTCCCATAATAAAGACTGGTTTTTATTTTGTTGTGGGTACGAGGCATCTTTTGAATTTGTTGTGGGCTGCTTTTGTTAAAAGAAGTTTCTGAGAGGGAAAATGTAGGACATATGAGAGAAGAGTATAAGAGAAGTTCAAAGGGAAGAGAAGGACTAAAAAAATGTTGCACATTTGAGTTGATAATCTGTGACAGTGCTTTTGAGTTGGACAAGCATAAGGTACAGAGTATAACCCTATAAAGGAATCTTGTAAGACCAACCCTCAAAAACCAAAAGCATCTTCTCATCATAGTTAATTTCTTAATAAATGATAAGTAATAAAAAAAACAAAAGGGCAAAACAAATCTATGCATGAGATTAGACTTATATAAATTTGCTTGTAAAATCATTATGAAATACACCTAACTTCAATTGATTTATATTGTCATACTTATGGTCTAAAATGCTTGTGTTTAATATTCCTTGAATTTTATAGTTTGATATTTTTATAATACATTGACTTTAAGTATTGACATGATTCATTTAATAGTTTTTAACAAGAAAAATATTGAACTATATTTCTTTAAATTTAAACTATATAAAAATCTATTCAAATTTTTTTCTATTCAGAATCTATTCAATTATTATACAACAATTCTTCAAAAATTATCAAGTTAATTTTATTGTGGCTAGAAGAGTAAATGAAAAATACGTTTAATAAAAAAATGAAAATATGTAAAATAGAAAATAATAAATGTAGGAAAATAATGGAAAGAAAATATTTTCCGTATTTGATAATTTAAAAGTGATAAAAAAGTGTTTATTTTCCATTTACACACGAATGAAAAAGAGTAAAACTTTTTTTAAAATATTATTTTATAAAATTATGTTCACTTAAATAAATAATTTTTTGTTTATAATTTTAATATATATATATATATATATTTAATTATTGTTTTTAAAAAATATTATAAATATTAAATGAATTATATAAATTATATACATAATTTAATATATTTTTTCTGTTTGTATTATAATATTATTTTATTAATTTAAAAAAATATAATAAAAATATTTTATAATTATATATCAAAATATATATTATCAAAAGAATGAAACGTTAATTTAAAGATATTATTTTAAAACGTTATTTTATTAATAAAAGTTAATTAATAATTTTATGAATACATTTATAATCAAATAAATATTTTATTTTATTTTAATTTTTTGTTATTTTTAAAATACATATTTTATTTTTTATGTTTTTTTTTCATTTTCTTTATCAAATATCTTAAAATTTGTCTCGATTATTTGTTTGAGAAAAATATATATTTATATTTAATATTAAGTCTGTTTGTTTAATGATTTTGAAAAAAAATAATGAGTTATTTTAAAAAATATATACTAATATTAAGAAAAAATATATTTTTTAATCAAGTCAAAATTTTTTATAAAAATCACTTAAATTATATATTATTGAATCATGGCTTAAATATGTCTTGTTGATTTTTTTAAAAAAATTATAAATATGATCTGTTTTTTTTTTTTAATTGTAATTTTGTAAGGTTACATTTAAGTTTACCGTTAAAATATAAAATATTAATTATGATAATTAGAGTAATGATAAATATTTTAAATAAAGATGATTAATTTATCTGTTTAAGCACGTATTGTATTTATTATTTTCTTCAAACGAGGAGACAACATATAATGTATTTTCAATTTTAACCTATCATGAATAATACATTTTATGTTATATAATAATTTCAAATTTTGGAGTAAAATATTATTTCAAATAATAATTACATTACTTTTTTTATATTTAAACAAATTATCATATGTAACCAAATATCTCTAAAAATTAGCAATTTCAAAGTTGAAATAGATGGCATTACCCAAATAGAAGCGTGAAGAAAATGCTTGCGGGGACACGCTTGCAAAATTCAAATTTTCACGTGTGCAAAGACAATGTTTGTGTGGACTGGGTAGCAAATTATGGAGCTACTCATTCAAAATAGATTTAGTTAAAACCCATTTACATCAATTTCATACATTGTTTTTCTCCTTCCAAAATCTTATAGGTTAATATTACATTTTATATTGTATTTTTGTAGACAATTTGTAACAATTTTTAAAAAATAATAAAAATGTATGACATTTAAACTATTTGAAATGAAATTTCTTTATTTTCCAATATTTTGTTTGGATAAAATTAAATAAAATAAAAAAATTAATTTATTCTCAATAAATTTTCATTTTAAAATATAACATGTATTTTAAAAATAAAATATTAATATTAAAATTTATCAAAAATATTAGTCAATTTTAAATACTCAAATAAAACTTAATAAGCAAGTATTAGATAATATTAAAGTATTTAAAATATACAATTTCCATATTCTCACTATTTAATATATGATATATATTGCAAAAAACAAATAATATTTTAATCCAATAATATTTTTTAATATAGCAACCTATCTATCAATACAAATAAAAAAATAAATAATAATAACATACCAGTTAGCAAATATAATAATATAATCTTAAATCATATCATATCTTTTCATCAATTTAAATTATGTATAAAATTACTTTTTAATATAATTGATAAATTAAATTTTTATCATGATTTTTTTTTTAATTTACGGTCTCCTAACTAGGGTATATATCATCATCAATTATAAAACTAAAACTCTTCGTTCTAAGTTTTGGAGTGCCTGGATCCAACCACTGTTATCCCTTAGTTTGAAGTTTGGATTTTGGTTCATAGGGTTCACTTCTATTCCTTCCTTATTGGTTTCACAGTCAGCTATTGGAGCAGGTCTGTTCTTAATCTACGCAGTTTTGTTATGAATTGCTTTCTTAGGGTTTTGTGTTTTATTTATATTTTGCTAAGTTATTGGATTAGGAGATGTTAATAATCAGTTTATATTTCTTTTGTGTTGTGCTTGTGCTTATTTGGGAGACTGACAGTGGTAGGTTACATATTTACTGATTTTTTTATGTTTTATTTTTAAGTTGGTTCATCGCACTTCCATAATCACGCAAACGAAATCGTTCAGAGGTTCGTTTATACTCACACCAATGTCGCTCTTGCAATATCTTTTTCTTTTTAACCTTTTGAATTTTAGTTGTTCGTTCAATCAAACAAATCCAATGATCTAATATTACTCATTAAATTTCCAAGGTAATTCTCGTCTCTGCAATGTGATTTTATTCTGTTGTTGTGCATTATTGCAGATGAAGGTGACAAAGCAGAGGAGGCATAGGAAAACTTTGACGTTTTACACTACTTGCTTTGGTTTTCGGAAGCCTTTCAAGGTTTTATGCGATGGGACATTTGTGCATCACCTTATTGTGAATCGAATAACCCCTGCTGACTATGCAGTTGGCAATATCCTCAGTGCTACTGTCAAGCTCTACACAACCAGGTTTCGTATGTTCATATGTATATATATACACACACACACACACATATGTATGTATGTATGTACGTATATGCCTGTGCCTGCGTGTGTTTAAACTAAATTTATTTCTAGTTGATATGATTTAGAAATTGTTACTTGTTTTGCCTTTTTCTACTTCCCTTTGTTGATTTGGGCTTTGGATGGAGATGATGTAGGTGTGTCCTAGCTGAGTTGAAACGACTTGGTAGCTCACATTCTGATGCTCTCGAGGCA